AACTTACAAATTTTACAGCAATTAAGAAATACTTATCAAACCATGTTAAAAAAACGTTCCATTCAAAACTCAAACATTATCATAAAAAAAGAGCAATTTGCTTCATTTATTTAAGTTAAATCAAGAGAAAACATCAAATATTGGAGGAAAAAAACCGATTGTAATTATTTGACTTAACATGTAATTTAAATTATTTTTTTTATTTAATATTAAAAAATATTGAAATACAAGAAAAACTAAAAAAAATAATTCCAAAATTATTATATACATGACCATGACCAGTATAAAGTTAGAATATTAATTTTGTTTTTTAAATAATTCAGAATATTTTTTGTTTACCAAAAGTTGTATATATTTTTTGCAAGATGAAAGAATAAAAAAACTTATGGTCTTAAAAGATTTTTTTTTCATCCATCGCCACCTCCTCCTCTTCAATCCACCCCTCCAAAAGAACATGTCCGTGGAAATGAAAATATCCATCGAAAGATAATTAGTCATAGAAATGAAACGATATGCCCATGTTGCTTTACTTGGTTATTTTTATCGACGTAAAACTTATTTGTAATTCCAAAACAATATTATAATTTCATTTTTAAGCAAAAAACAACGTATTTTCATTTTTAAACAAAAAGAAGTAAAATATTTACTTGTAAATGAATTGCATGTTACCGAATAACAATGTTTTTTTTCTTTTAAATTTGCATTTTTAAACAAAAAAAAGTAAAATATTTACTTGTAAATGAATTGCATGTTACCGAATAACAATGTTTTTTTTCTTCTAAATTTGCATTAATGATTATTTTTTCAAATATGTTATAATGATTTATAAATTATATATTTTAGATACAATGGATACAACATAAAAAAATACCTATCCAATATCCACAGAAGCAATAAATACATTAGATTTTTTTTTGAACGGCCGGTTAGTTGTTAGATGTTAAATTCACCAAGTTAGTAAATTCGCCTATCCCTCCCTGAGGTTTGAACCCAAGACCTCCTGTCTAAGAGGCTTCCACCTCTACCAAGTGGGCTAGTCCCACATTGGCAATAAATACATTAGATAATACATTGTTGTGGAAACAAAATGAATCGGTAAATTTTAACTAAGGCTTAGTGATATTTATTAATACATTGTGTCTTATTGTTAATATGACATATTTCTTAAACAAACTAATCGATGAACTGAAACTAATCATTGACCGCTAAAAAGAAATTAATTATCGAAAAAACTATTCGCCGCCCGCCGCTTTGCGCGGGTAACAACTAATATATATATATATATATATATATATATATATATATATATATATAGTTTTACATACTAATGTACACAAATTACTTGTAGTTCAAACGGTTGGTGGTCTGCTTTTATTTCAATTTTTTAAACAAATTAGTTTTCTTATATTTATGGGCCTTTTTCTATTCTCCGTGACCCTCAGTATCAAAGGACCGACCTGGGTGATATCAAAGTCATCGATGGAAGCTGCTTCATGTGGAGTTGCCCGGTTCAGGTGGGTATGATAGTGAGCACGTATCCTAGATACAAAAATCCAAATATTCAGCTACAATGCTTAAAAAAAATATATAATTTTGTCATTTTTTTTCATGTACCTCTCAGTGTTGTCAATTCCAATTCCCTCCCCGATCTTCAACTCTCCTTTCGTTTTCAAGTGAATGATGTTTTTCTATGAGGGATTTTTGCTCATTATCATAAATCAAAGTAAAAAATAAAAAATAATAATAATAATTCAGGATCATCAAGATAATATCACCAAGTTATACAAAATACCAACAAATTAAAGTGGAAAATAATTATTTAAACTTTTGTTCCATCCATGGTTCAACTAAGGAGCGCACCACAGTACAATGGTGTTTGCTTATGGTCCAACTATTATTTAATTTATTTTGTTATCGTAAATTTTATGATATATCATATGCATTATATATTTTTCTACAATGTCAAGAATGTATCCCAAGATTGAACATGGTCAAGGAATATCACATGTATATGTATCTCGCCCTTTGTTCCTAGTGGTCTTAGATTGTCCTATACAATATGAGATGAAACAGAGTGCTACAACGTATGAAGTAGGACTCTTCTTTTCAGTTGCAGTCAAAAATCTATGTGATTCATATTGAGTTTGAAACATTTAGGTGCTGTTTGTTTTTTCTGAGGCAAAATGTCTGCAGTCTGCGGACAACATCTGTAGACCTCTGCAGTAGAAGAGGTGGACCAAATGTCTGCAGTCTGAAAAAAGAAGACTGTTTGTTTTTTTAACATCTGCGGGCTACTAAAATAAACTGAAATCTAAATAAACTGATTTTTTCAAATTTCAAAGTGATTTTTTAATATTTTTATGACTTTGTTATAAATAATTAACGAATCAAGATCAACTTTTATGTATTATTGTATAAAAAATAAAAATAAAAATGGTATGAATTAACGTATATATTTGATAAAAACCAACAACTTTGGTTGCAAAGTTATAACTAAACATTATAATTAGTGATCAAATAATTTGATACATAACTGGATATAAATAAACTTCAATTTTTTCAATTAAATTCATTAAAAACGTATAATAAATATTTTCTCGAGAAATTGACGATACTGTATTAAATAATGTTTTACAAAATTTGGCAAAAAAAATTTAAGAATATATTATGATTTTTTTTCATATTTATATAAACAACTTCAACGATTATTATTGTAATAATCTTTATTTATAAATTTGTCAAAAATATCATGTTTGTATCGTCGAACATTTTTTTTAAGTTTTGTAATTTTTTTTCAAATTGTTTTTCTTAATAAAGTTGGAAAAAATATAAATTTAAAAAAAATAAAGATATATATGTTTTTTTTAGGGTAGAAGATGTCTGAAGACTTTAGAAGACTCTGGTCCACATCTGCGCCAAGAAGAGGGCGCACAGATATTTTTAGGCCTGCAGTCTTCAAAAAAACAAACAGTCTGCTAAAGCTAATGTCTGCGCGTGGTCTGCACGGCGCAGACAGAAGAGATCACACAGATCTGCAGACAAAAAACAAACACTACCTTAGACTTGAACTCCAATAATTGCTAAAATTGTTTGAAGCAAACATTGGTCCACGGTTTGTCAAACATCGGAAAACACCAAACACCAACTTGACACATTCAGCAATCAACATAGTTACACCATTTAAAACTTCGATACCACCGACTAGTACAAAATACCAAGTCAAAATAAATAACGACGTTATTAAACTTTCTTATATATTCAAGTAAACCATAAGAAAGCAATTTGTCAATTATATATATATATATATATATATATATATATATATATATATATATATATATATATAAATTAAATAGTTCTTGAAAAATAGAAAATCAAAGTGTGACATCACTCTCATTGACAAAATAAGTAAGATGGTGCGGCACACTATGACAAAATTTCACAAATGGTCTATATGGTTTTGATGTTGTCCCAAAATAGTCTTTATAAAACCATTTTTTTTTTGCATGAATGATCCATTTGGATAAAACTCATTGTTCTAAAAAACGCGTCATTGCGTGCTTCAAGGCGTGCCATGGCGGGAGGCGTGGTGTAGACGTTACGAAAACGTTCAAGGCGGGTTTGTTAAGCGTGGCGCCCAAATAACGTGTCAAGGCGCGCCTTATCGCGATATGACGCGAGTTTTTTCAAGGCGCGAGTTTTTTTTTTATGATTTTTTTTACCGGGCCTAAAATAATTGAGTTTTTGTTAACTTTTTATATTAAATACTAATATAACACTTCTAAAAACTTGATATACTTGATAAAAATCAATAATTATATGATTTATCTCTTTTAATATATATAAAATAGTCACGCCTTGAAAAACGTCATGACTCGCCAAGGCTTGTCATGACTTAACTTTTAACTTGCTGCCAAGCCACACCTCACGTTATTTAGAACTTTGATAAAACCTTACACTCTAATACTCCTTATTGTGGATGTCCGTTTGAAGCATTTTGAGGGAATTTTGGATAAGTGTCATTTCCGACATTTTGTGAAACTTCGCCTAATTACAATTTGTGAAACTTCTCATAAAAACTATTTCTAACATTTAGTTATATAAATATTACATTTTCTATATTTTAGTTTTTTACCTTTTTTGTTTGATTTATTAAACATTATAAATATATTTTATTTAATATATAAATAATTCTTGTTATCTACGCTTTATCTAAAATATTTAAACTACAATACATCATTGGATATTTTTATTTTCTATTTTTATCTAAAATTATTTAAAATATAAAAACATCATTTTATCTACTTTTAATTTTTATGTAATATTATTTTCAAAACTTATCTTTATTTTTTTCTTAGACATATATATTTATTTTGATAAAAAAATATGATACGTTATTATTTATGTATCACAAACCTTTTAAACATATAAAACATTTTTATTTTCCTGTAGAGAAAATGAATTGAATGTAATCAATAACATACTATATATATGGTTATTTATTTTAGCATGTGTAGCAGCTTAAGTGGAAAAAAAAAAGGCTAAAATGATTATAAAGAATTAATTATTTTCTTAATAGCTAACAAACAAGTTTTAATTTTGCTTTGAAAACTGAGTATTTATTAATGAATATATTTAAAATTTGATAAAACTAAATAATTTTATTAAATTAAATATCAAAAGTTTATATCGAACCAATGTAAAATTTAGCGTATGTTATCAGATTTAACTTTTATTCAAACCAATTAAATTGAATTTTATTTGGTTATGTTTCAGTTAACATTTTTAAAGTCAATACAATTCATTGATTGTTAACTTTTATTTTTAATTTAAGCCTGAATGATTATATATAATTAGTCCGTTATTTAAATTCCAAGCACAAACAAGGTGTTTCTAGAATGTACATTACGTGTATGGTAGCATTGATATTAGAGCATAAACATAAAGAATGGACTAATACAATATTTCAATATTTAAAAAGATCCAACCATCGAATCAAACTAAGAAATAAATACATTGGCGAATGGGATATCACTTAAAATCCCATAGTTCTTGAAACATTCTAAATCATTAATCATAATCTCCTTCCAAACCAATGTAGTTAATGATTCTGTGTCCTTAGGTGATGATGGATCTTTTTCCAACGAGGGGTTAATTTGGACATTTGTAATAGTCAAAGGGTTGTCTAGTAAATTGTGATATATTTTAGAATTTTTACGATCAAGGACACCTCCATGGTGTGAGAAAGTGTTTGAAGGTGAGCACGTGTGATAGCCAAAATATGTGATGTGCAACATGTTTGTTTCGTCTTCCAACTTTTGAACTTGTTTTAAAGCTTTGCACCCAAGAACATGTTTGTGTGTACATCTGAAGTAACATCTACAAAAGCAAAAATATGATAGATTTAAAATTACAAATATGTTATATTGTCTTAAAGTATCATTTTAAAAATCGATAAAATACATTAAAAGAATTAAAAAGGATTACTACCGTGGGAATTTAGAGTTAAGGATCTCTTTTTGACCATATTTTCTCCATGAATAACCATCTTCAATCGTACAACTGGTTTTGACCCTTGAATCTATGGTCCTGCAAATTTTACTCAAGCAAGAACAAATCTGTTAACATAATAACTGTACTTATAAAAGAGAAAATATTCCTAGCTAGTTGAGTATTATATATTGTGACATAAATGCATCAAGTATTTGCATATTTGTAATCAAACTTGTGTGTACCTCCTCTTGTAAGAACCTCTTCGTTTCCTTACTCCCAGCGTCAGGTTCTTCCCAGTTTCCTCGGAGCAAAATTCTAGTACCCGGTCAAGGGAGCAAGCCAAACCCATATGGGGACTCACCGGAACCCTACAAAACTTGCCGGTATGGAAAGAGTTCAACACTGAAAGGCTGTCGACGAAAGATCCCATTATTTCCATCACAATATTATCCACAGAAACTGACCCATCGTTATCAACTTTCCGGCGAAGTAAGTTCTGCAACATCTTTGCAGAATTTCTTCCTTTAATTAGGATTTCAGCCACTCTTTCCTTGCTTTTATCCATTCCAAATAAGATACTGCAATTTAGAAAGTTAGTTATGAAGAATGTGTTTAATGTAGTATGTGAACTCAGAGGATTAGACGTTTATTTATGGTATGTAAAGAAAGAAATCTAGAAGCAATAGATATGACGTCATAATTTTAAGCCAATGTGACATCATCCAAATTCCTAAAGTTTATTAAAGTAACCAAAATCTTTCTTAAATTCATAATAACAATTCGATCGAACAAATATCCAAATATTCAATCCAAATTGTTTGATATGTCTGTTCATTTATATATAAACTTTGTTCATTTATATATAAACTAGTTTATAACCCATGAAAACCACGGTTACAAAATTAATTAAATTTTTATAATAAAAATTCAAAATTATTAATTAATTATTTTAAATAAATTATTAATTAAGTGATTTTTTTAGTTATATAATTTTTAATCATTGATTTAAATAAATATGTGAAATTATATCATTTTATAATTTGTATTAATTTTATTTTAATTGTTATTAATTTAATGTAATTAGAGTGGAAAAATTTTAAATTTGAAATTTGAAATTGAGTTGACAAGTGACATTTATTAATTAGGAGACATAATGTGGTGACACATGACAAAAAGAGAATAAAATATGCATTAATTAGGATGCCTAATAAAATGACACATGTTAAAAAGAGAATAAAACTATTCTTTTATTAAAATAGGGATAGAGATCAACTTAATTCTTCCTTAATGAACATAAAATATATGCACAAACAATGTACGGTCCTGGTTTATTTACTAACGTTACACACTCTATGTTTATTATTATTAGACTAATGGTGAAATCTTCCTACAAACTTTATTATTATTTTATTTCACTAATCTTTATTATTTAATTATTATATATATATATATATATATATATATATATATATATATATATATATATATATATTAAATCCAAAAGAGGTTAGGAATAGTATTCTTTTAGTTTTTAGGATTTTGCCACATAAGTTTGCTGAACTTGACACTTTTAGTCCTTAAAGTCAAAAATTTTACATTTTTTGCCTTTTGATTAAGTTTTTGTGCCTTAAGGTTTTTGCCACAAATCCTTAATGACTTTGACACTTTTAGTCCTTATATTCAAAGGTATTACATTTTGGTGTTTTTGCCACAATTCTTTAATGAATTTGACACTTTTTGTCCTTGTAGTCAAAAGTTTTACATTTTAATATAAAAAACACAAAAAAACCTCCTTTAAAATTTTGCCAACATATTTTCCCAACGTTAACAACTTTAATATTATTGCCACAACATTTTGGATTTTCTCCACCAGTATCCCTTTTTTTCGTTGTATACTTTTGACATCTAATTTTAAGAGTTGTCGACTTTCTTCCCTATTTATGGTGATTTACAATTTCAGCACATATCTTTTAAAGTTTGCCGATTTTTTCCATATTACCCCAAAAACGACATAGCCGCAGGTTCTTTACTAGTTATATTATTATTATTATCTAAATTCCCCTATAAACTTTGCTATTATTTTATTATATTCAACTCAACTTTTACTAACTTTATTATTATACAAATTTTCTTTCAAACTTGTTTATTCTAAGATCAATAAGACAACAATAATATGATTTTACGATAAGATAATAATGTAAATAAAATTATAAGAAAAATATATTTGGAACAAGTACTCCTCAATTTCCTTTTTCTTAATGAATATAACATAACAAAAATCTGAACCAAAAAATTTCTTTTGTTATCATATATCGTATGCTAAATCATAAGTAAAAATAATCTAAAAAAATAGTAATCTATTTTAACCACAATGACCATTTAGTTCTGTTGCAAATACCAAAAACCAAAGTACGCGATTGTTAATACATTATGCATTAAGCATTGAATGTATCCCAAGATCGAATATAGTCAAAGAAAATCATGTGTATATTTATCTCGTCCTTGTTCCTAGTCATCGTATACTGTCCTACACAAAATGAGATGAAACAAAATTGTAACATTTTGATGATGAGTTATTTTCAATTTTAACCCTAAGAATGAAAAATTATTGCATTTTGGCCCTTGTGCATGAGAAAGCTTGCAAAATGGCCCATAGTGGCATTTTGTAATTTTGTGGCGGACTCACGTACGCGGGGCGTACCTAACGTACACGGGGTGTACGTGTGTGATCCACAAACCCTAATTTTTAGGGTTTGGACCCTATTTAAACATCCTTAAGTCCCCAACCTACCTTATTTCATCAGCCTCCAACTTGCCTTCGTCCCCAAAACAAACCCTAATCCACTTTTGAGCACTATTGAGCTTTGTGTGTGTGTGTGTGCTTTTTGGTCACCTTGAAGGAGAGAGGAAGAAGAGAAGATCATCTTGGAGGAGTAGGACTCTTTGGATCCAGATTCTAATCACCATTTGACATCACTTAGAGGTAAAAAGTTTTGAACTTGATGAAGATATGCATAGATCTAAGTTAGCTATGGGGTTTGTGTCATTTTGGTCCCATTAGTTTGGTATTTTGAGTATGAGCTACTCCAACCCATTCAAGCTGTCTTTTCAGACGTTTTGAGGTGTTTAGAAGCATAAAAATGTGGTCTTGATCATTTCTTCCTTTCCATGCATGTGCTATAAGGTCTTAATGGATTAAGTAGTTAAGCTTTTTAGTGTTAAGCACTTATTGGACATGCAAGACCATAAAGTTGGAAACTTTATGGTCAAAGACGTTATTTGGGTCTTGGATCTTACTTTGGACGTAAGGACTTGATGTATTAAGCTCTTAATGAGAAAAGAGGTTGAACAAGTGTGTATGTTGGGGGTACCAAGCGGTAAGTTGCGCGTACGCGGTCAAGGTCCCGAGTTCTGGGTCAGTCGGAGTACGCCCCACGTACAAATGAGTACACCCAGCGTACTCGGCAGGGTTGAATCAGATGGTTTGTTGACTTTGACCTTTGACCAAGTTTGACCTAAGTGTATTTTAGGTAATTTGAGTGGTATTTGATATTGTTCATTATTTGGTGTCTAGGTGACCAGTTGAGTTATCATTCAAAGTTGTGTTCTGTCAGATACCTTTTTCAGACTGAGAGGTGATTTTTCCTCACTATACTCGTGGGTCGAAGACACCAATGTTGGCCCGCTAGATTATTTATCCTGGTTATAGGATACTGTTATGCGAGTATGTTATTAAGTAGTAGATCTGCATGGTTATCTGTATTTTTCGGTTCTGTGTTTATTTTTGTTTGTTACATATGTCGATATATTGTGGTTGGGTTGAGACGGTCCTGCTTTATGCTGAAGGCCAAGACACCCGGGGAGGTCCAGATAGTTTGTAGGCCCTGCGAGATAGTCCAGTCAGTTCGAAGGCCCGTAGAGCGGTCCAGATAGTTTGTAGGCCCTGCGAGGCGGTCCAGTCAGGCTGAAGGCTCATAATTGCATGCTTTGTTTGTTTTGTAGTGTATTGGTACTTTGGTGGAACTCATTAAACTTTGGCTTACAGTCTTAGTTTATTGTTTCAGGTAATTCTGACGGTCGTGGAAAAGCGAAGGTGTGATCGTGCACATCTTCCTCTTTTATGTTATTGGGTCGTGGGAAAACTCTGATTTTGAATAATACTTTTGAAACAATGACTCTTTTGTAAACAATGTTGGTTAATGGTTGATTTTAAATTTTTAAATTTCTATGATTTTTGGGGTGTTACAAGTTGGTATCATAGCCCTGGTTTGAGATAATTGGATGAACGTTCGTGTGAATCCATACTCAAACTAGGGAACTGCAAAAGTTTTTAAACTGGTTTTTACAATTGTTTTCAAAAGTAGCCAAGGAAGGATGAGATGTGTACGATCAGCCAAAGCAAGAAAATATACCCCAAGTTACCCACACTGTTATTTGATATTATGTTTATGTTAGAATAACATGCTAGTGGCAGGCTAGGGATCTTCAGGAATTGCATGATATAATTGTCTGATATGTGATTCATGATATCCTAGGATTATTTCTTGTATGGAATTGACATCATTACTGTAGTTGCTTAGTGTATGCATCATAGTTGTACATAACTAAGATTCTATAGCCTGAGAATGTTTGGTTTGGCCTTATTTTATGTTCTTGTTTTATGAAGGGCTTAGGGTAGAATCAAGTATTCAACTGTCTATAGGATCCAGTGTTATGCATGATTAGCATACACGGGTGTTGCAGGGTTGGTAGAAGTTTCATGGATGGGTTATGTGTGAGCATTGACCAATTGAGGAATGTCTAGCCTTTCTATAGGAAGTGAGAATAGGATGTATGCATATTTTAGTGTGTGTTGTTAGGGTTGTTATGATGATCTTCTAAGACAAATACGAGTAGGTGTGGATGGTAGTATGGGCCCGTACTATCGGAAACGTAGGACCCATATGCGTAGCAGGGAAGTCATAACCCCTAGGGTTTCGTTAATTAGAATAGCTCGTATGGTATGAAATGCGTCTTGTCTGATATTTTCTGGTTTAAATTTAGTATGGTGCTTACGAGGGGATCAGGTTTAGGAGTTGGAGCGGGTGGCCAACATAGGCCATGGTTAACGATCAGATTAGGGAGTTTATTTTTGCAGAGGTTGTTACTGCTGTCCGGGATACCGGTGTTGTTTGGGTCTATCAAGACCGCCATAATTGAGCTTTTCGAAGATCGTTATGTGGCACTTTCTGAGGCTGTTGTTGCTGCAGCTACCACAACTGTTGCAATCACTGGGGTTCGTGGAGAAAGAGCCTTCCAGTACCGGAACTTCGATAATATGAAGCCCCCGGTGTTCGATGGAGTGCATGATCCGATCATTGCGATGAGGTGGTTATTCGATGTTGAGGGGTGTTTCTTTACGTGATCCTACCCTGCTGACCAGAAGGTCAAGTACGCCACGAACCTTCTTCGATCAGGAGCGAAGGACTGGTAGAGATTGGTGACTGGTTCGTACACCCCTGAGCAGAGGGATGCTATGACATGGGAGCAGTTCTCTGAGATGTTTCGCATGAGATATGTTCTTTTGGTAGAGCGAGAGAGGATGACACAGGAGTATTTGGATATGAGGCAGGGCACTGA